AGCAGAACAGGGGCAGGTGCCCAGACTGCCCCGCAGCAGAGGCTAGCCCCAGAAGCTTTCTACAAAACAGCCTGACTTCATAAGCTTAAAGGCACTGAAACAACTCCCTCATGTGATCCTACACTTCCTTGCAAAAGCCAAGCCAGTTCCATTTAGGTGTAGACCAGATGTCTGAGCATTGGGAAACTGGTTCCCAAGGTTGTAATAGTGCCCCCTGGTGGCTGGAGAACACCACCTTCTTCCTACTACCAATGGAGCTCTTGGTCACCCCTAAATAAAAAGTAGCCTGCTCAGACCTAGCTATTCCAACCTGAGTCTACGGATCAGCTATCCAGGGCCTATCCTCCTGCTGCCAGACACTGGAGGCCACGCCCTGCAAAGCGGGTGAGATCTCCAGATCCATTCAGAGTCCCTCACACAGAGAAATCCAGAGATGGAAAGATTAGCCTCGAAGATAGCAAGGCCAGCATGCCCCCTCCCCCCGCATGTCCCAAGCAACCACCTAGAATTAAGCAGCGCATTCTCTTTTCAGATATTTGGAAGTAGGGAGGGGCAAAGAAACAGAAAAACTCTTAACAGGAGGTCTGAAGTTGCCTGAAAAGGCCACGAAGCTTAAGACTTGGCCATTCTGTAAAAGGCTGTTTGTCTTTGAAGCCTCAAAAAAAGAGAAAGTACTCCAGGACCCAGCCTTTCCTGAGCCAAGAGCTCTCTCTTCTTCATCAGTACTAAGCAACAAAATAATCAACTGAGGTCTGACCCTCGGGCTTCCAGGCACTTAAAAGCTAGATTAATAGCTCAGCAGACTCTAAGGCTAAGGCTCCTTCATTCAGGAAAGTCACAAGGTCTTCCCCAAGTCAGAAGCGTTTCTTGTTGGGTAACTATCTAATTTGACAAAGGGAACCACAAACTCAGCTGTTAGGCCAATTGCTGGCTCTTATCTTAACATAAAAGTTCAAAAGATCCCACTTACCACCCCCCCATGGATGCATTATTTCCTGTGCCTCCACCACAACCCAGCTGCCTCCCCAGCCACATTAATTCCACTTTGCTGATTAGTGGTGAAATGACCCCTTCCTAAACCGGTGCTTAGTGGGACTGGTGACTCAGAGGCATCAAAAGCTGTTCTCTTTCTCTCTCTTCCCCAATCTCCCCGCCCCCCGCCGCCCCCACTCAGACTCTTGCCCGGGATAATAAGTAACCCACATTAATGAATGCTGCTTGCCACTGTTTGAAGTTAGCACTGGAAGACTACAGGTATTCAGCTGTGTGCATCACTTCTACCACCACCCCCTTAAACAACAAAAAGCAAGATCAAAGGGTTCCTGGCCAGCAGTCCTAGCTCTCAACAGACTTTTTGTCAGCCTCTACAGCACATCCTTCCATCCCTCCCCATCCTACTTAACTCAAAACATCTGTAAAGTGCAGCGCATCCTCCAAGCCCCACCCCCACTGGCCTCTGCCGAAGTCTTACCTGTATCCGTTTTCAACAGTCTCTGTGGACCTCACACTTGCTGTGGCTCTCAGAGTTTTGCTGGACAAGCCAACCACAGTGGGCGAAAGTTTGCACTTGAAGTCAGCACAAGTCCACTCCTCTTCTTCATTCAAGGTGGGGAGGTAGCCACACAAGACTTTTAGACTCCCCAGTCCCCCGTTACTCATGTAAGCTGTGTTTTCTCCCCCACTCCTCACATATTCGAGGTATATATCAGAAGTCAAAAACATCTGGTAGGCATTTTCCTCCATCACTGCCTGGATCTCAGTTTGCGCCTGGTCAAACATGATGGAGTCAATCTGCTGCTTCTTGATGCCATCTCTTATGTAGGTCTTGGTGGCAGGTTTTAGCTGCTTGGAGACAATGCTGTTGTTCTCAATGTACCTCTTGTAGATCGCTTTGGCTACTCGCAAAGTTTTGGTATCCTTCAGGTTCATCTGCCTGAATCCATTGCAGGCAAACCAGAAGTCCAGCGTATCCACACATTTCTCCCTCTCCAGGAAAGTCCGGAAGAGGTATGCACCGTCTTGGTCGCCCAACAAGGAGTGCAAGGACTTAGTCCACCTGGTCATAGGGGAATCAGGGGATGCCCGGCCCTCAGGCTCCCCCAGCCCATCTTCATTTCTCCTGGCATTGGTGGAGACAGGCATGGGTTTGGCGGTCTGGCCCTTGCCCACCCCTGACTGGCACGTTGGGGTCTCCCCTTCTTCCCCTGGAACAGGAGGCCGAGGGGCATCCTCGTGGAAGCTGCTGCTGGGATCCGGGAGACGAGTCACCAACACAGCGCTACTCATGGTGAAGGGGTGCTTCCGAGTTTGGAGGCTGTTTGTTTTTTTCCCTCTTCTTCCAGTTCTTCTCAGCAATCGCTGGGTCTCTCTCAAGTCAGCAGGGGCTCATCTGAGCCCCTCTCTGGAAAGAAAAGGAAGGAGGGGAGGGGGGGAGAGAAAAAAGGGTATTGATCTAATCAAAACCAGATCTACCCAACATCAAAGCAAGAAAGTAAACAGGCTTTTCAACTCCTCAAATTCAAATCAAGCAACCCAGCTATCCACGAGGTGCTCATCTAAAGTATCCAACGCTGCTTTTTCAAAGGCGAAATCTGAGCTGCCCGCACACTTTTCGGGGGCGGAGGGGTGGGGAAAGGGAGGGGAAGGTGAGATGGAAGCAAAAGCCGGGCGGCGGAGACGGACGTGGAGGTGTTAAGACACAGCCTCCCAAAAACTGGCTGGGCCCGGGGACACGCAGGGCAGCCCAGTCCATCCCCTCCTTCCGCGACAGCATCAACTCTAAAGCGCACCCCAGCCGCCCGGCAGTGTGCAGGTGAAACCAATTTCGGTAAATTTCCCCACTCCGCTCGGCACAGATAACTCGATCTCTAAACGTGCCCTTCCCAGGCATCTGGTTCCCATTCCCCCCCCAACACACCCGCCCCCTCCCTTCCCACTTCTTAAAAATCTAGAAGACCCTTCCCCGAAAGAAGCCCGCCCAACATGAGCGGAACGGGCTCTCGGACTCTCAGATTCAACATGCACCCACCACGTCCCACATGAAAATGCTACTCATACACCCTCCCCACCTAGACTCCCGCTCGGTCTCCACCTCTGCCGTCCCCGCTCCCCCAAACTAGAAACCCACTCACTCACTCAAGACTTTGATCTTCAAACTTTGCGAGACAGCACCAGAAGGCTCGCGACCCGCCGCCCCCTTGGCCCCCAACCCACCTCCGCAAGCCGCAAACCCTACAAAACCGGATCAAAAGGAGTCTCACGCTACTACTGCCTGTGCCAAGAATCCCAAACTCCACTGATGTCGAGCTTGTCTTTTTCCAAAAGAAAAAAAGTCCCATCTAACCAATAAACTAGCCGCTTTCCCAAGCACGGGAAGGATCAAACTAAGGACGATAGGGGCGGCTCGGGTGCAATACTAGGCGAGGGGCTAGGGATCCAAGGCCTGGGGTGCGTGCTCGCCGCCCCTGCCAGAGACTTCAGGCCGCCAGGCTGGGCAACACGGCCCGCCAAGTGGCAGGGCCCACCGCAGTGCCGCGCATCCAGGCGGAGGGGAGGTGGGGCGGCCCCGTTACCTGGACGATGAAGGCCGCCAAGGCCGGGCTCTCATCTCCTCTGAGCCCGTCCGGCCCGGTCCCCCGACCCAAATCCAACCGAACGCCTCCAGAGCCCCGGCGAGCGGACCACCCAGCACCGGGCCGGAGAACCGGGGCGCGAGAGCAGCTCCCGGAGCTCAGTCGGGGGTCGACCACCGGCGCCGGGGCTCGAAGCGGCTCCCGCAGAAAAGGCACTGAAAGCAGCCGCCTATTCCAGAAATGGCGACGCACGGAGTCTGCCTCTCCGCAAAAAAGGGCCGGAGCCGCAAGGAGGGACGCGGGCGCCGCGAACTCGGGCCGGTCCTGCGCGCAGACTGAGCCTCAGTCAGCGCTCTGGGCCCCTTAGCGCGGACCCACGGCTGGGAGGAGGGAAGGAGGGAAGAAGTGGGAGGGGAACATGGGGCGGGGGAGAGGCGGGGGAGAAGGCGGAGAGGAGGGCAAGTGGGGGGCGCCGCCACCCTTTCATCCCACCTTCCAGAGGCACTCCCGCGCACTCACACCCGGACTCACATCCATAACGACAGCGACGCGACCCCCGAGGGGGATCTGCCCCTTCTGCGCCCCCGCCGCCACTTGCAGAAGTCTCCCTGCCCGGCCCCCCCCTCCACCCCGGCCCCCGCACTGGGGAAGGGGATCCAAAGCAGGGCGCGCGGGGGTGCCTGATCAAGCCCCCAGAGCGCTGGGCGCCGAGCCCGCACCTCCCCTCCGCGCCTGCCCGGAGCGCGCCCCGAAATAGCCGGCCTGCCAACTTCAAAGGGCCGCCCCGCACATCAAAGCGCGCGGGCCGCTGGCCCGCCGCGGCCTGGGCACTCACCATTGATCCGCGCGCGCGCTCCGCGCCGAGACCTCGCAGGCGCCCCGGGCAAGGCCCCGGCCCGGCCCCTGGCTTGGTTCGTTGCGGCAGCCCCAGGCCCCTCCGGGCCGGCCCGGACATCGGGGAACATGGGGAGTCGCGCGGCGGGAGAGGGAGTACCGGGAAACAACGATCCGGGGATTACGGCGAGCTCTCGGCCGGGGAGGGAGCGCGTGCCCCGCCGCCCCTTTTATGCAAAAGATCCGAGTGGGCCTCCGCCCCCGCCGCGGCCGCCCCGGCCCCCGCCCGGCGGGCTTTCAACACAGGTCCTGTTTCCAGCAGTCACTCGGCGCACCAAATGTCCTCCGGGCGCTTCCAACAAAAACTGCGCTGTGGATTTAACTGTGCACTTCAAAGGCGCGAGCCGAGCGCACGGTCCTGAAAGGGAGGTACGCGCCCGCCGCGCCCGGGTCGCCCCCCGCCCCCCCACCGCCCCTCCGCGGGGCTGTCCGGCCCGCACCCCTCTACAAGCCCGACCTGGGCCGGCTGGGCCCCCTCCCGGGGCTCGCACCCGCGACACGGGTCGGCTCGCCCGCGGCTCGGGGCCGAGGGGTTTTCTTTGAAGCGGCTCCGCTGGGGCCGAGCCTCCACCCCCACCTTTTACAGCAGGGCTCTCGGCGGGGGAGGCGGGCGCCTGGGCCGCCCCGCGGCCCCGAAATCCATCGAGATGAGGGGTTATTTTTATTTCCCGGCTCTCGGGCTGTTACTGAGTTGCCAGGACCTTATCAAAGCGCAGCCGGCTCCAGCCGACTCCCCCGGGCCGGGCTTCGGGAGCCAGTGATCCCGCCGCACCAATCACAGAGGCGCTCGGCCGGCCCGCGCCTCCCGCCTTAAAGGGACAGCGCCCGCGCCCGCGCCCGCCCCGCCCCGGCCCGCCCCGGCCCGCCCCAGCCGCACGCTCCGCTCCCGCGTTAACCCTTCCGCGGCCCTTCTCCGCCCCCCAGCCAGCCTCCTGCGGCCCTTGGGCGTTGTCGGCCCGAGTTCTGAATTTGCCTTTGAAGTTCTCAGGCCTTTGCTCTTGCTTCCTCCCCCTGCCTGCCCTCGCCCTCTCCAGCTCTGGAATGCAACAGTTTCTTGTAGCATTCTGGCCATCATAAGAATTGCAAGCAAGCTTATTTTTCCGTCATCAAACACTTTCCAATCTGTATTCAGGGTTCCCAGGGAATTTGGTCTTGGAGAACCTTGTAAAGGGAGTTCTAGCCCTGGGATTGACTGACCCAAGTGTCATAGGGCGTACCCAGGCGGGGCTCGGAAGGCTGGCACGTGTGTGCGCGCTTGCGCTCGTGTATCTGAGTTTGGGTAAATAGAGAACCATAGTTTGAGGATGGTTTGCGTTTGTGGGTGTGTGGAAATGAGGTGTGAATTTGCCAGCGCAGGCCTGCGTGGTGGAGACTCTCCCTGACACTGTTTGGGAGCAGGTCTCAATCCCCAACCTCCCAATCTTGCCTGGCCCTCGGAGCCCTAATGCGCACCCATCAACCATCTCCGCTGCCGCTGCCGCAACAATTGCATACCTGTCACGCTTCCAAAAGGACGCCCCCCCTCACCCATAATCCACATAATAAACAGTCATAGGATGCCTTTTTCCCTCCACAGGCGGTCTTTTTTTTTTTTTCCAAGAACCTAGACAGAACTTTTTTTTTTTTCCACAGGCGGTCTTAATTATAAAAATTCACCCCTTTTCACCTTTGGATTCCTCCCCAATCTTCCACTCAACAATGTTCATAAGGTACAACATTTTCTTCTTCCTTAAAATAAGAAAATAAGCTATAAACCCAGAGCATTATTCATTTATTGCTATAGAATGATCTCTCCTGTAATAAACTTTTCTTCCCTTAAAAAACAGAAAAGTGTGAACCAAAGAGATCCAAAAAAGCCCTAACCCCACAGTGCTGGGCAAGGATTTGGCTCTTTTCCATTTCTTCTCACTTGGTCTTTAGTTACTTTCTTGCTGAACTTAATGGATGGCAAGCTTTAGAAACATGAAGACTTATCATTAGGCCTTTGGAACTTTCAGACAGGCAAGAAATGTGACTCTTGAGTTTTCAAAGAAAAAGAGAAGGAATAAACACTACCTGTGATCTACTGGAAAAGAACAAGCAGCTGGGACTGTGCCATCCTCTCTGCCTATAGGTCTGTGACAAGAGACAAACTCTGGAGCTCTTGGTCACCATGGCAGGTGGCATTCCCCCTTTCCCCAAGGCCCACCTGTGTCATGGTCAGCCCCACCAGGCTTGCCACTCCAGGAAGCCACACTGCCTAAAGCCAGTGGTCCAGGCTATGAAATACGCTCCCTTCAAAAAAGACCAGAGAGTGTGTTCCCATGATGCATCTTTGCCTTGAGATAACTATGGGGTGTGAGGAAACTGATTGGCTCTGGGAGCCCAGCCTCCCAGAATCCTAGAGTGTGAGTGGCCCAGTACAACTCTCAGCTTCTAACTCTGAGCTGGTATGTGGGCCCCTGGACCAAGCATACACCCAATGCCTTTATCAACCCCAGGAGTGCCAAGAGCAAAACTGTCCCTGTGATTCCTAGGAGTCCTAGGCCACAGAGAGTGTTATTACTGAAACAAAGGTGTAGACAGGAGGATGAATCCCCATAGAAACATCTATATGTAAACAACAGCAGAGGTGCTCAGGCACACACACTCACGATGTGGGGGAGGGGAGACAGAAAAATCAAAACATCCCAAATCAAAATAAACAATGTTCACAAAGAGTTGGCTTTCTAAAGGGAAGTGGAAATTTGGTCTTCATGGGTGGCTTTCCTCCCTTCCCAGTGGTCCCCACTGACCCTTCGCTGCCCCCCAACCAGCAGCAGTCATCACAGACAGGGCTGTAACCAAAGGACTCTCCTGTTCCCTTATCATCCCAGAGCTGCAGCAGTGGAAGTGAGGGCCTGGGAGCCCCTTGTGGTTTGTATCTTCTTAGTTGTGATTCCTCTGGGAGCTGGGTTTCCAGCACAGGTGCTGGGGTCACCTTAGGTCAAGGACTCCCCTACCATCACTGCCAACTCATTTCTGCCCTGTCCCCTTCCCCCCAACTTTGTATGTGGGGAGATAGTTTTCATCCAGCAGGAAGCCTAGCCAAGTACTGAGAAGCCAGAAGCCCTGTCTAGCCTCTGGGTCTTTGACTACTTGTTGATAGTATTTCTGGAGGAGAATCTAAAGTTCTTTGCTTAGTCCCAGCCCCTTTCTCAACATAGCAGTGTTTCATTTGCCTCTTCTCCCTGGCAGCAGCGCTATCATGTGACTTCTTGTAATCCTGCATGGTTGCCTGGAAACTGGAAAGCAAGGTGATGAATTTCTGCACGTGCTCACATACTTCCCTCCCCCCTTCTCTTTAAAGAAAAACCCTACCAAGGATAAACAGCCCATTTTGCTTAAGTGTAGACAAGTTTAATAAAGCAGAGAGCGATCCTTTTCTAGAATTATGTACTGGGCTGAAATCCTAGAATCCCAGAAAACAAGGCTCAAAGCACCCTGGGAGGCATATCTGGACAGATCTCTGACCCTTAGTCAGCCTCACAAACAAGCACTGTGGAGGGGATGTCACACCAGCTGGGACTTCACAGTGGCCAAGACCCAGGACATGGCTCTAAGGTTCAGGAATTCCATCTTTGATTTCTTAGGAAAAGAGCTTCCTTAAACAATGTACCTTTGTTTAAAGAGTGAAAAAGAGGAGACACAGGTAGCCTTTTCTAAAACTGTTCGTGACCAAACTACTCTGAGTACCACGTGTTCACCTGCAGATGAGATGGAGGAAACCTCCCCTCACACAGCTATTGTGGTCCTGGGCAACAGGCAAAGGCTCAGTGCATAGCACGCATGCAAGACATCATGGTAGCCGGCGCCTATGGCTCATACCTGTAATCCTGGCTACTTGGGAGGATGAGATCAGGAGGATCAAGTACAATGCCAGCCCAGGCAAGGAAGTTCTTCAGAACCCCGTGCCAATGAAAAAAAAACTGGGAGTGGTGGTGTGCACCTGTCATCCCAGCTATGGTGGGAAGTATAAAATCCTAGCAGGATTGCTGTCTAGACTAGTCTGGGCAAAAAGCAAGACCCTATCTCTAAAATAACCAGAGCAAAAGGGTTGGAGGTGTGGCTCAAGCAAGCACAAAGCCCTGAGTTCAAATCCCAATACCGCCAAAATTTAAAAAAAAAAAAGAAAGAAAAAGAAAACCATAATGGTTATTTCAGCATGACCACCCTGTTCCCTCAATAGCCTGTTACCTATTCTGGAAAGAAAGTCTCCAATCTCCAAGTAAAGGTACCCTCCAGTTAGGAGTCAATAGTAACCCTACGACCCTGACCACAGAGGTTCAGTAGAAGAGTCAAAGGAAGCTTTTGCCTTTCGGCCATCTTTCAAAGGCTGTCCTATCCAGAAGAAATTACAGAATGTTCCAGCCCAGGTGGC